ACAGACCTTCACACATAACAGTGATCATAGAAAAGCTTTTTGTCAAAAGAAGTGCTACCTCAAGTAGTACAAACCTAGTTTTCCCACAGTACATTATCAGCTCACGTAGTTGTTCATCCTCCTCACATCCCCTCCTTCTAAATGCCAGTAAATTAGACCAAGCATAGACAGAAGCAGTCAAAAAAAACCTCTGAGAAAAAAAGGAAAGAATTTGCAACTCAATTTCAGACATGCAGAAGAGTTAAAGGTTAGTAAGAAGTCCTTCCAAAAGGACTTGTGTTTTAGGGTTTTTATGAAGTTGCTCTCCAGTTTATTATTAAAAAGAATAAATTGACCCAGTAACTACAGCAGCCAATTAGCATCAAAACCACTTGTTTTTTTAAATATCAGAAAAAATGGAAATGCACTTCTTCCTACAGTATGACTTAACAATTTCCTAATTCTCAAGGTGACTCAACACATTTGCAGTAGTGCCTCCATCCTCCTTTCCGTAAGAGTAAACAGAGAGCCTGCCCAGCCATAATGTACTTCAGGGGAAAACACTCCAGTGCTTATTCAGACTAAGACAACCTCTCCTCTTTTCAGCTGGAGACTACAGCAGCTGTCCCAATAAAGCAGCATCTCACCTGCATCAGCTGCACACACAACAGCTAACCCATGATGGCCACATGTCTTGCCTGACAGCAGGCATCACCACCCTCATTTCTCCATTCTCCTTGACACTGCAGCAATACTCCCACTTCAGAGCAGAGAAATAAACACAGAATTTAGCTGTGCTGACAGTGCTCCTCTTCTTCCTTGGCTTGAAGACCACAATCTTGACAGAGATAAAACAACTTCTGTGAGCAGCCATTGGCCACATACCGTAGCCCACTGCTGACCACGCTTGTACAAAACAGTGACAGAGGACATTTGCACTGCAGTTCTCTGGATGTTTGAGGATATGACTGTGGGAAGATCTGCTGTTTACAGTTTGTGGTTCCAGCTGACAAGCTGGCATTTGGCTCAAGCACTGCAAACTTCCATGTTTGAAACAACGCAAAACAAACTCAAGTGGCCACCAAGACTTCTGTGATGCACCACAAGTCAGCAGGCAACCGATAATGCAGTAATATATGCAAAACAAATATTAGAAAATCAAAGGTTTGGGTGTCCTGTGACAGCCACATCTTTAACAGGTATAACATTTCTCCAGCTGAAAGGAAGACCTGGGCCTTAGTTATTTGTAAGTAAAGCTGTAACTTATCCAAGGCACGGCTGCTGCACTTTGAGCCTGTGCACACAGGACTCATGACATGCTCTGGCATTATGTATGCTGCAAGTAGCACCGCTGGGTTACTGGTGTCTCACACAAGCAGACATTCAACTACCCAGACATATGTTCACGTATGTTCTGTGCTGTCCGAAGCAGAGGTTGTGGGGGAGCACAGTCGTAAGCCCAGCAACCAAACAGCTTGTTGCAGGGCTGCTCTGCCTACAGGTCTGACACCTGGAAGCAGCCGCAGCAGCTGAGCACTTGATGTCCTCCTACTCCCCTTGAGGGAAGCAAGTACCTTTTGCAGCCTTTTAAACTGTCATCTCATCTTAAACTCACACCTCTTACACGCTACAATTATTTTTGTGGCCCACCTTATTAATTCCTAATCAGGCACAGGACTTGCCCTTTACAATGATTTTTCCAATAATGGATTTGAAAATTCCCTTGGCCTGGTCTGTTACACCAGCAGAGAAACCGTTTCTATCGCCTCATCATTATTTAAAGGCCACAGTGGCAGTGGCAGACTCAGACAGAAGAAACTGTCTTTCCCCAGCTTGGCTTCTATGACTAGGAATCGAAGTACTGAAAAAAGTTAGAGCAGCGCAGCGCTGAAAACACCCTGGTAACAGCCTCCGCTGTACTTCCACAGCACTCCCGTATTTCGGGGATGCCAGCTAAATGCTGCCGCCACCCCTCCCTGCCACCGCTACTGTCACCCCCTCCACAGGGAGGGCCACTCGTGCTTCAGCCCCTTCCTGAGCGCGTTCCGGGACCGAGGAGGGCCGAGCTGCCGCAGCAGACGGGGTCGGCACAAGTTTCGCGCCGCTCCGCCGTTCGCCCGCCGCTCTCGGCAGGGCGCTTCGCCCACAGTCCAGCACAGCTCTGCTCCAGGGCCACCCGCGGCCGCCGCCGCTCGCCCGCGGGACAGCGCCGCTGCTGCCGGCGCCGGGCGGGGGCCGCGCGGTCCCCGGCTCCCGCTGCGCCGGGAGCGGCCGCTCCTCCGGGGGCGGCGGGGACGGGGCGGGCCTGACGTCAGCGATGAGGTGCGAGGCCGGCGCGGAGGAGGCGGCGCGCACCGACCGGCCGCGCTGGGAACTGCGGAGCGGCCCCGGCTGCGCGGCCTCGGAGCCGCGCTGCGAGCCCGGCCGCCCCAGAGACGCCAAGTTCAAACACGCCGTGCTCGCCCGCCCGCCCACAAGTCCCGACACTCGGCGCTTCATTCAGGACCGACCCGACCGGCGCGCTCTGACCCCGCACGTTTCGTAGGGAGCCTGAGAACGGCTCCCGGCTCGGCGGGGGCCCACCCGGCAGAGCAGTGGAACCCGCCGGCCCCTCAGCCGCTACCTCAGGCCGGCCCGTCCCGGACCCGGCTTCCGCCCCACGGGTACTCCGCCAGACTGCCCCGGTCCCCCCGAGGGCCGGTCCTCGCCGCCCGCGTCCCCTCCCCGCCAGGCCGAGGCCGCTCCCCGGCGAGGTCCCTGCCCCGGCCCGGAGGGGGCACCGTAGAAAAAGCCGCGGCGGGGGCGGCCGGGACGCGCACTCACCTGCCCAGGCGCCCAGCGCCGGCCCCACGGCGGCCGCGCCGCTACCCAGCACCCACACGCGGAGCCCGGTCAACAGGCGGTACGAGGCCAGCACCGCCGCGTAGAGAGCGCCCAGCGCGCCCACCCAGTAGAAGAGGCCGGCGGCCGGGAGCGCAGCGGGAGCCACCATGCTGCGGAGGCTGCCGCGGCCGGACTGAGCCCTCCCGGCCACCGCCGCCCCGCAGCCGTCACGGCGCCCGCCCCCGCCCTGCCGCGATTGGCGGAGGGGCCGCTCAGCCACCGGGTAACCCGGCAACGCGGCCGGGCCCGCCCGCCCTGGGGCCGCCCGGCCCCGCCGCGCCGGCAAGGGGGGGCAGGCAGCGAGCGGCCACACGCCCCCGTACTACTTGCGGCCTGCGCCCCACGTGGTCGGCACCGCTCTCTTGCCGCCATTGGCCGGCGAGCGTGGCAGTCACCGGGCCGCCGCACCTCGATTGGTCCCACCGCCCAGGAGCCGCTCAGGAATGGTGGAAGACGGGACCTCTGCTCCCGCCCCCACTGACGTCATATGAGCCCATTCATAAAATGCTCAGGCTCCGCCTCGCACTCGAATATGTCCCTCGGCTCCCCTCCCCCAGCCCCGCACTGCGCTCGCCCACGGAGCCGCGCCGCGATCACCACAGCGCAGCCCGGCCTGGCCCGGCCCGGCACGGGCCCGCAGGGACCCCTGGGCACAGGGAACCCGCCCCGGGGAAAGTCCATCCTGGGCAAAGCGCGGCTGGGCACCACAGCCCAGCTGCCCTGCATCCCACGCACCGCGAGGTTGGCAGCGCTGTCCCGTCTGACCGGCCTCGATCTTGTCTTCCTCGAAAAGATCCAGGGTCAAAGGCTTCCTGAAATATTTCCCCTGAGATGACCACTTGTTGTGCCATGCCTGGACTTGCCGTGCCCCGTCGCCCTTCAGCTGCCCGTTTGACACGACCTCTCTCCCAAAGCCCCACACAGGACGGGTTAGGAACTCCTGGACTTGGGAGGAGTGTAAGAGAGCAATGTCACACACACGCCGCCGGTGGCTCTTTCCGTGGTGGTGAAGGGCACAAAGCTGCTTTCTGTCCCGCCTCCAGCCACCTGCTAGGGTGTGCCATCAGTACCCCACTTACGGGCCTTGGTTTTTCCTTCCCTCCCTCCCAGGAGGGAGCCTGGGGCGGAGAGGAGGTGGGACAGTGTAGGCTGTGGGAGGCTGAAGCCCTGAAATAGCTCATGGTTGAGATGCATTGCCTCAACAGGCTGAAACGGCAGGAGTGGCTGAGAAATATGGAAGATCAGTGGCAATTTGGTGTAAGGTGTGGGTCAATTAAAATGTCAGAGAAGACCAGTTGAGGTATAGGGGACTGATGTTTTTAAAAAGAGCCTCTTGCAACTTTCAGTGTCAATTTTTTCTGTACACAAGCCTTTCATACCACTTATTTGACAATTACCTTAGTTCAAGCAGTAAGAAACCTTCTCTAAATGAGGTTTTTTGGAGATCCACATCCATCTGAGTTATTAAGAACAAGTAGCATAGGGGGTAGTCTTAATGTTGCCTTTCCTTTCTTTCTTGGAGTGGCAAATAGGTCATACCCAAATCCAGCCACTACTGCTGAAGATCTCCGAGCTGTACCAGCTGCCAGGCTGCAGCCATGTTCCCCTTGTCCACTCCTTTGCATTACTTGCCACACACCATGTCGATGGCAGAGGCAGCCTCCAGGAGCCTAATCTGCCAAATCCTGGCATGCCTCAGGCCTGGCTTCCCTTTGCAGATCCACTCCTACAGACCGCCCATTGTATACTCAGTGGATTTACAAATGCTCTGCAATTTCTCTTTCTTCATCCCATTCCACATTTACTAAGATCTGCCTGCTTCAGAGTTTGGAAAGAGTTCATGTAAGAGTGCCACCTTAATTGTAACAGGTAAACAGTACCCTGCGTGTTGCACCTTGAGTGCAACCTGACCATGGTGCCATGTGAATGCAGTTACAAGCACTACAGCCACCTCAAAGCTCTCATTTAGAAACAGGACACACTTGTATGACATCAACTACCTGATGCAAAGAACTGTGCATCCTGAGATACCTGAGGTTGTACTTTATCACCTTTTCTCTGTGCTAAGGGAAACAAGACCAAAGAAAAGAAATGAAAATCTGCTGTGATAGATTTATCCCTTTTATTTATTAGTTTAATAAAAATAAATGTTTGCTACATTTCCTGTTATTAAATATATGACATGAAATAGCTTTTCACTCAAAAATACGTAAGTAATAGAAATCAAAGGCTTCTGTTCATAATCTACTTGTGGAAAACAAATTCATAGTAGGATTCAAATTTAATTGGATTCAACAACACACTGTCTGCACTGATGTTAATTAAAGACATGAAACTATCATACTCTTTGCAATGAAAAATTAGTCAAGTCAGTGTCTTATTGGCTGACCTATAGGTTTACAGTTGTTTTTTAGAAATTAATCTTTATCATAAGCATTGGTATCAGACCTAATAGGAGAGAACATGTCACAGGATTTCGTCCTATTCCACAACAGGAAGCATCCATCCTTCCATCCCCACAGTGAATTAGTTCACCTATTGTTTTTTTTTTTTCTTTTGTCAATCACTCATGAGAGGTGACACTGCAGAGGATCCAGCTCTCACCAAGCTTTCTTCTGCATTTTTCCCAAGAGAGCCCACCTATTTCTTACTGAACACCTCTTTTAGAGCAGGGTGATATTCTAGGGCTAACTCCTTCAGTCATTTCACAAGGAAAATCCTCTTAGGCCTCACCAAGCGTGTAGTTGTTATAACACCCTCCAAAGACAGGACTTGGATTACAAAAAAATGCAAAATGCTGGGATAATTTTTCTCTTGTTCCATACCAGCCTTTCCTTAATTTTTAAACCTATTTTAATCTGCATAAAGGATCTTGGTATTTTTGCATAAACACTTGTGTGTTGGAAAGAAAATATACTGTTAGAGCAAAAGAAAAGAACAGAGGTAATCAGAAGGAGGTTGAGTGCCACTCCTCGTTGGGATCAATAGTGAAATTGTTAGATAGAACATGTGCTTTCTGTGGTCATATCACACTATTTTCTTCTAGTAGCTGTCAAGGCAGTTCTCATCTGTTCAGTTTATGCAGAATAAATTACACACTGCTGATCCTCACTCTTTTGTCTTCCAGAGGACAGGTGGATATGGCACAAACATCTGGAAAGAGAAAAGGTAGAAAAGATCTACTACAAATCAAAAACAACAGAAGAGCTGAAGCAAAGGATGGAAGGTAACAGTGGTCACCAGAGTCACCAAGAGTCACAGAAGTGGACTGGGCAGCTGGACAGTACACGTAGAAGCTGGAGGAAAGGAAATGAACACTGGGCAACCTGCTGAAGGGAGCAGGACATTCTGGATATTCATGTAAGCTGCACTGCAGTTACCAAGGGGATGTTGCCAATTACAAATGGGTCAGAAATAGGGAAGGAAGTATGTAGGTGCTACAAAAGATTTGTTGGTCTCTGTCAGAGTCTACCCATCTTTTATTATAACATCTCCTGCCCACTGCACTGCAGTTGTGCTGCTCCTGAGACCTCTTGTCTGAACAATCTTCTTGTTGCAGCTCAGGAGAGAACCTGCCTTGCTGTTCTCTCAGGGGGACTGATAAACCCCTTGACACAAGTATAGACACAGCAAGGAAGTTCTCTAGTTTTTTTTGTATTAAAAAAAGTAATACTGGTTATTCAAAAGCGTTGCTATTTTTTATGCTGCCCTGCTTGGAGAGAAGGGCAGTCCTCTGAGAGGCTTACAGTCTACATTTAGAAGAAGATGAGTCACAGGCAGGGAAAGGGACTCACTGGAAGGGAAAGAATTATACAAAGGTCAGATGAGGGGGTTTGCATCTCTTGCTTATGGCATCACACATTTCTGAGCAACAGGCCTATTCGCCTTTCCAGGGTTAATTCCAGTATTCTCACAGGCTTTGCAGGTCTGTTCCCATTTGCCCTAAACTGCTGCAAATCCCAAAGGAGCACCCAGTTGGCTGAGCTGAAAGAACAGACAGGCATTTTGAGTGTACTCACACATCAACATGCATACACGTATGAGGATACCTTGCAAGGCCCCAGAGATCTGAATTTCCACAGCCTCTTTCATCAGTTCAGGCGTGTAGTCAGTTCCAGATGACTGCAGATGCAATCTGGGTCAGGGCAGTGATGCAAGCCTTGGTCACCCCACAGCTTGGCTACATTGCTCCATCATATGGATGGTGGCCAAGCTGTACAGCAGAGCACAACAGAGGCGAGAGAGAAGTCCTTAGGAAAGTTAAAGGAGTAGTGATATGCATGACTGAAAAATGCAACAATAAGGAACAAAAAAAATGGATTAGAACTACATAGATGACAACATCAAAAGGAGACAAAGAAAACAAAAATAAAGCACAGGAGCAATAAAGCACAATGAATAGGGGATAAAAGAGCACCCAGTAAGAAGAGTCATTCAATTTTTATCATGAAGTTTTTCTGTGACACTGCTGCCACAAGTACCTCACTAGCAATACACATCTCAGTGAGACCACATTCTCATGTTTCCCTCCTGCCCCGCTGTCTTAGTACCTGAGGAAAACACTTCTCACTACAAACCCACAGATGAGAACCCAAGACAGTCACTCACTGTCCCCACAGTGAGACCTGTGGCTCGGGGGTCTCAGCATGCAGGAAGCCTCAGCACTGGGATCCGCTTCTCATCCCAGCCTGCCCAGTGCTGCCAGAAATGCTCTGCAGCAACCCTGAGACAGGGAAGGGGGTTATCTGTGATGTGTCACATTTTTTCCTGCCACTGAGCAGTGTAGTCATTTGTTTCATTAAATGGCATTCTTGTACCCAGCACTAATTTTATCCCTTTACAAATATGTTTTTCATGCTAGCAACTCAAGAGCAGCTCTCCCCCTGTACAGTCATTCTGCTCTCATGCCTCTCTTACCATTACTCACACTTATTGCAGTGAGGCCAGATTCAATAAAGGGCCTGGCTGCTGCGGTGCTGAGCACTGCAGTGTGTCCTTGCCTAAATCCACAGCTCCAAATTAAGACACCCTGTCCCAGTGCACAGTGAAGGCAAAAATTAGAATACCTAAGAATGTAATCTTCATTGTCCATTCTGTTAAGATGTTGAAAAGAACCATTCAGACACACCAACAAATCTCTCAATACACCTCATCCGCTGCTGAGTTAATCATAATGATGGGGTTGTACCTTGTGTGGAATTCCAGATCTTCAGCCTTTCCTTAGGCACCTACTTCATGCCCTTGCAGGGGTCATGGACCCCTCTGAGCCCGTACACTATTTAGTATTCACCCAGGAGTTCAGGTTTCCCTCCTCTGCTCAAAAGGGCAGAAAAGTGCTTTAACAGCATGGCACACGTGTGTGGAGCGAAGAGATTTTGGTTGAAGCTGTTGCACAGCACACAGAATCCCAGAATCATCATATCATAAAACCCTAGAATGGCCTGGGTTGGAAGGGACCTTAAAGATCATCTACTTTGAACTCTATTGCCATGGACAAGGATGCCTTTCACAAGGCCAGGGTTCTCAGAGCCCCAGCCCATGATCTTGGATATTCACAGGGATTGGGCATCCACAACTTCTCTGGGCAACCTATTCCAGTGCCTCACCACCCTCAGTAAAGAATTTCTTCTCAGTAACTGTTTTTCTTTCAGCTGTAATGATGGGATGGAAAGCCAGTGGGACTGGAAGGGCTGGGGCAGACATTCTCAGCACCATCCTGTGCATACATCTTCAGCATATGTTAAAGTGGTGTATTTGGGCAACTCTAGAAGTGGGTATTTGTAACCCTCCTCCCTGGCATGCTACACATGAAGCAGGTGCTGGGGGATCCATGGTTCAGACTTGGGTTTTGCCAGCTGGCTCTCACTGTCAGTTCCTACAGTACAGGACTCCTGTGGGCCTAACATAAGGCACCTCGAGCAGCTCAGCCCTGCTCTGCAGAGCTTGCAGGAAACAAGGGAGCCAGAGAACAGCAGGTTGAGAGAAAGGGATAGAATTTGTAACATTAAGTGCCATAATAAATAACCAATTAAGCACAAATTTTGATTGATATGTCACTCATCTGCAATTGCATACTTTTGGGTATAGTTTCTTTGAGAAGGGCAGAAACTTGCAAACACAAGGCAGCTGCTAAACACGAGTCTTGGCTTTGAAACTGAGTCAGTCAGGCATTTTAGGTTACCACACTGTGTAACAGCTATACATTCCTTGCTTCTCAAATAAACTTTGGGCATCAGCAACCTTGCCTGCTTCAGGGAATAAAGTCCCAAGTTTCTCAACAACAAAATACTCCAAGCAAATGTAGCAATGGAAAACAAACAGAATCTAAAGCCAAACAGTAGCTGGCATATTAACTAGTTGAGTCTATAGATTGAAAATTTAACACGCCATGCAGATGTACACCGCTCTTTATGAGAAAGTCTGTTCAGTTTTCCTTAGAAACAGGAAACAATACAAATGGTTCTACAAACTTCTGGTACTTGATACAGGGATTTTTCACTTTTACCTACTATGGATTGGCAAGTACGTCTCCTGTTAAAACTCAAATTTCCTCTTTTTGTTGCCATTCTCTGTTTAAAGTTCTCAGAAATTATTGCAGTGGGGAGCTCCATATTATACAAAGCAAGGAAAGCTTAGTAGGACATGCATATAAAGTGGGGGTTGGGTTTTAAAATCAACAACACTGGAAATTAATACTACTAAAAAAAAAATTCTAATAGTTATATGTGCTGCAAATCCAAGTGCAGCATGTGTTTACTGGAGACATAATACAGCCATGGCTACTGATTACCCTTTTTCAATCCTACAACTCACTGAAATATACTGATTTTGAGCTGAAAATATAATCTGTAGAAATGGAGTGCTGTGTGCTCATTGTTTAATCCTTGATGTCTCTTCTACCTAGTTTTGTAACTGCAGGTAAGCGATAAAAATACTTTCCCAGATAAAATGAACAAAGTTCAGGAATGCATGGCACTCACACCACTGCCAACATTCAGTGTCACCTTGCATGATACATTCACTTTCAGCCCCAGATGATGGACTACATTTCGTAATAAATCTCTGTTTTCTCATCCTTTTTAGCCCTCAGTGTCTCCTTAAAGATCCACATGCCAGGCAGTTCTGGTGCCCCTGCAAAAACCCAGTACTTGTGGAAGACTTTGTCCTGGCTACTCCCAGTATTTCACAAACATGAATCCCACTTTGAATGCCTGTTACACACAATGTATCATTCCTAGAGGAAATGTGAGGGCAGAAGGTTCAACTAGGACCCTACCAGGGGCAAAAGTTGTGAGCAAAAAAAGTATCTCAGATTGCTATCTATCTTTAAATCCTAATTATGTATCTGTATAGTTTTCATCAAATTCTCCATATTTCTTTAAAATGTTTGTCTTCCAGACTTCCTGAAGACTTTTACCATTGAATTTTTAACCATTAAAATTGGCATTTCAAAACCACCATTGTTTAAAAACAATGTAGGACCAAAGACACCATAATGTTTTCACCCAGAAGGCCATCTATTCGAGGTATGTAAAATGCTATCCCCCTCTGGAGACTTCAGTGGAAATCTGAAGATTTTACAGCCACAATGGCCTGGCTCCAGAATATTCCCACAAAAAAAACCAAAAAAAAACCAAAACCAAACAATGAGCAATTAAAACAACCAACCCAAAAAATGCTGCCTCAAGCTGCAGTGACCCCTCCCTTTCTGAGGCTACCAAACCAAGCCCTGCCATGCTCTGATTCTGTTTGGTGTGTAGCTTCCCAGTACTTCTAAATACTGATTCTCTGTTAATTCTACTCATCAGCCAGCACCCGCAGCAAAGCAGGTGTAGGTTTACACCTGTTCACGTGTGTGTGAACATACACGTGTATACGTTCTCCCCAGATGTGGTTACATAAAACTAGCTAAAAAATGGACTTGGATTGCTCTTAGTGACAGCAGTAGCACCTTATTTTTGTTTAATACTAAAATATGAGATGTTTTGCTTTTGTTATTGAGTCACATAAATGTCATATCAGTCTTATCACATGACTGTTGCTCACTTCCATGACTTAGCTCCCCCTGTCAGTGTTATTTCAAGAGGCATAATACAGCACAAGAGGACTGGAAACAAGTGACAGCAGTGGAAGTGCCTCTTTTAATGGCAGAAAGCCTTGTAGGATGACACAGGCAAATCAGGTCAGAAAATTTTTCCTTGCTGAAGGCCTAACTCAGTGTTCCTACCATTTCAGTGGGAAGTCCACAACTTCCTTCCAATTCAGAAAGGTTAAGAGAAGAACAAGAGAAAGAACCTGCTATGAATAGGAATCACTTTCTTTAAAGAATCAGACTCATGATGGAAGAGGAAAATAACTTTCAGGAATCAGGGTTAAGTATCAACCAAGCATGTTTCATTTCACATTCATACCATCACTCTACGGTCACACCTCTGCCCTGTAAGCTTCAAGATAAATGTCTGCAGCTCAAATCCCACTTTACAGAAAAAAAAGTACAAGAAACCATTTAGATATAATGCTTTTTTTTTTTTACTAGTCTTTCATACTGTCTCTTACCAAATGAGCTCTCCATTTTCATGACTTGTTCACTTCTAGGTAAATGAAGGAAGTTTAATTCTTATAATCAATTCACTTCTTTGCTTCAGCAACTACTGAAAGTGCCAGTGGTAGCACTTAATGCATAAATTGATGATAAGATTGATTCTATCATTTAGTTTTCTATTGACCACTGAACAGGAAGTTACCACCTTAAAACATATTATTTCTCTTTGAATAACCTGCTACAGCTGTGGACTGAAAAATAAAATTAAAATGGATGACTGAGCAATGATTGCTTAACTCCCTGCCCTGTGGAGATTTCCCAAAACCCAAAATGCCAAGTAAAAATCTAAACTGTCTGGCTAGAGGACAGCAGCCTTGCTGAAAAACAATGTTCTTTCATCTTTATATTCTTCTGTTAATTCTTCAGTACTGCACTAAGTGCTGTATGTAAAAATCATACAATCCAAAAGGCAGGGAAAAAAAAAAAGCCACAAGGTCTCAGGTAACATCCCAAGGAAGCTGATTAGCCATACATTTTAGAATGCAACATTGTCTTGGCCTAGATGCCTAAAAACTTACCTAAAAATTGTTCCATTAAGACTCCTACAAGTAGCCAATCCAGGCATAAGAAGTAAGGTAGCACTGCATGAATTCAGCCATAGTGTCCAAACCAAACACAGAGCTCAGAGCAAACACAACCAAACTATTCTGCTGCTATTAAGAGGCATAAAAGGAAATTAATATGACAAAAACCAGCAGCACTTCCAAAATGGACCCAGTGTAAATTAACATATCCATCTTGGAATCCATTGATACACAAGAATGTGGTATTATGGGAGGGGATATCCAAGATTCCCCAAGTCAAATTCCCCACTACTATGCAGAACCCAACACAGATGTTCTTTCCTGGATATATCAAACTTCCTTCTAAAAGAAATTTAAACTTGTTTCTCATTTGAAACCACTCCACAATATTGTTAGTCTGGTAGTTAGAGCTGTTCCTGCAATTTCCAGCGAAGTCTATCCATTATTCCTTTTACACACATTTATTTTGCTTTATTCTGATCTTGAGCTCATATAATTATTTTCCCTCCTTATATAACAGCGTAAGTGTCACTTCTGTGTCTTTCTGTTAAGCCTCTCTATTCCTTTTAACATCCATGTGGTTCTTTTCTACATCTGTTCCATCCATCTGTTTGAACCCATTTATCTGAATGTGGGTGATAGTTGGGCTCCAGATAAGGTCTTACTAATGCCATATACTTTGACATCATAATATATAATTATAAAATACTATACATTATTAAAATTATATTTTTAAAAACTTATAATTACATTAAAAATATAGTCATATTTTTATACATACAGGAAATCCATCCCTTAACACTTTCTAGGACACTATCTTTGTTTTTTATTATTTTCTCAGCAATGTCACATGCTATCATTCTACTGCTATTACACCAACTACCAACCTGTCACTGAAGCTATGAACTCTTCTAGAAAAAATTGTGATCAGTTTCTATTTGCATCACTAAAACTCATCTAATTCTATTAATCTCAGTTTTGATTCATCTTGTCAGCACATGGATATTCCAGTCCTCCTATCAATACAGTCTACCGGTTTTGTGTCTTTAAGATTTTATCATTGCTGTACTTTTTCACTAGTGTCACTAAGGAAAGAATTCCAACAGTCCTCAAAAACTCCAGTTTGCAGCCTTCTTTCCATCAGTATAATATCTTTCCACCTTTTATCTGTCAATTCATTCCAAAGTCACCTTACAATGCAATTAATCAAAATTTTCTCTGTTTCACATTATTTCCTCACATGGAACAGTATCAAAGTTTCCTCACAATGAAACATAAGGTAACAAGGTAGCCTGGCACAGTGTATTTTGCTAAAAGCCTTGCATTTTATCCTACCTTTAATTTCTCTGTGATCTTATTTTGTCCTTCAAAAATTGTCCTACAGCTAAGTGTACAATGGCTGCCAGATTAGATCATCATTATTACTAATCTTGTCTTTCCTTTGGGTACCTTCAACTATTTGACCCCTTTTACATGTGGCTTCCACTGCTAGTACAGTACAGTATTTGCAGGTAGATTATACATTTTTGGAAAGGGGATATATTGCATTTATTGAGCTAAAGCACAACTGCAGTGCTTAATGCATTGCCACTGAAATCAGAAAACAGAATCCAGGAAAACCTACTACTGCAAAACTGGAAAAGTAATGGTTAGAATGGGAACAGAGTAGGGCATACACTAACAAGTTTAAAACACCTTACAATAACTGTATTTCCCTTGCCTTGATTTTTGCTGGTTTATTTTGTTCTAGACTTTCTAATTTTGTATCTCATGCCATCTTCACCAGCTTCACTCTGCAAGTCCAAACCACCAGAGGTTGTATTGCTGGCACTGAAGGCATGTATCCCTTTTCTGTGGCTAGTCAACAATTTCTTTTATAAGCAAAACAACTTTAATTTCCCTCCAATAGAACAATACCTTCTCTTGAAAAAAACATATTTCACTTCTTTTTCTTTCTTCAGTGAGCCATCTAAGTATACTTTAAAAAATGTATTTCAGGTGATATCACTGGCAAAATCTGATGTGTTTTCTGACACAAAAATGTTTGTAGAGCTCCTCACATACCTCTCACAGAAACTGAGCAATAGAAAGCAAACCTACTGTGGCATATTTCCTTTTTATGTTGATGTTTGAGCTCAACCGTGTAATTTTCTTTGCACTTTTATTTATTAGTTAACAAATAAATTAGTCTTCTTCTGAATCTCAGTAGGATTACTCTTAGCAAGGAAAATAACCTAACAAGAATCTTTCCATTCCCAAGAGAAGTTTAAGCAGGCTCAGCCCCAAGTTCAGCTGACTGTGGATGCATGACACCACCGTCTTTCAAGATCTGCTTCCAAAACGTGAGGAAAACAAAAATACACAAACAAAATTAACTAAATTCACTTCCGACTGATTTATTATTTGTCATTCCTTTGATACACAGAGTAAGTTATCTCCAGTTAATTAACAAGTTACTCTAAAACATCAGAAGGTTTAACAAGAACTGACTTCGCACTATTGGCATAAATTATATTACATTAACACTTAGTGTTAATTGCCTCCTTCTTCTTCCCTCCCCACTTTGTCCGGAGAGAAAATAGCCCTCTGTCAAGTAAACTACCAAGTTCTGTTTGCTTCCTGGGTTTGTCCCATAACTTCAACGCGCATCAGCACTTTCACGCACCGTCATTCTTCCACTTCACACTTGACAAACTCTAAGGAAAAAATCCCAACTTGCAGATAAAAGCACCGGATCCTCCCTTGCCACGTGCCAGCCTTTTCTATCCGCGCCAGCTGAGCAGCGGAGGAGGCCGCAGGAAGGCATCTACCGGCCCTCGGGCTCGGTGCGGAGCTCCGCGCAAAGTGGAAGCAAAGGTCCGCACAAGCACTGAGCCCGTGAGCCGGTGTCTCTCCGGGGTCCCGAGCAGCCACAGGTGCGGCGGAGCCCCAAAGCCAGCGCGGACGAACCGCCCGTGTGATTTAACCAAAGCAAATCCTTCTCGGGAGGACGCGGCTCGGGGCAAGCCCTGCCGAACTGGGCTAATGCCCCATGGCCCGGCCCGGAGCCGCGGGCAGCGAGGGCCACCGGGAGGCCCCGGCTCTGGCCCTCATCCCGGCCCCACGGATATCGGGGCTGGCCAGTACTGGCCAGGCACCCCGGCACCACCGGCTCCGGGGCAAAGCCGCCACTGACCTGCCGGCGCTCGAGGCGCGCCCCCGGCCGGGCCGCGCTCCGAAGCCGCTGCTCAGGGCGCGGGGATAATGGCGGCGCTCGCCGAGACACCCGGCCGGGCACGGGCCGGCTGAGCGCACACCGGACAGGACAGGACAGGACAGGACAGGACGGGCCGGGCCGGGCCGGGCCGGGCCGGAGCTCCCGCCCGACGGGACAGCTGCGGCACCCCCACACCAGAGCGGGCGGGCGCCGTCACGGCCACAGCCGGCGAATCCCGGCCGCTCGTGGCGGTTCCCGTCATGCCGCGGCGCCTACAACTCCCGCCGGCCCCCGCGGCCCCGCCGCCGTTAACCCTCTGCGGCGCCGAGGCGCCTCCGCCGGCCCGCCCGGTGCCCCCGCGCCTCTGCCCGGCGCCTCCTGCTCGGCACCCCGGCCCGGCACATCCGCGGCCCCCGGGGAAGCGCCACTGCGCCCCGGCTCGCCGGCGGAGCTCGCTCCGAGCGGCCCGGCCCGGCCCGGCCCGGCCCAGCGGCGGGCCCCGGGCCGCTGACACTGTGGCGGGTTTCTGTACTCCCGCAGTGTGGTTTCTGGTCCCAAGCACAACTGTTTGTTACCGACACTAACTGCACGCTTCCTGCGATATAGTAAAAAGCAGGTGAAATACCTCATTCTGGCTGGTGGGGCTTTAAAAAAAAATTCTTTATGTTTGAGGGGGCAAATTGCAATAAGCAAATTAACTCAAAAATAGCTTTACAAGCACCAGAAAACTTTGGGACAAAGTTTCTAGGAAATGCTGGGCTATCCTATAGTGAAACTAATGTGAAAATCAGTCACACACTCATATTCTGCCCTCCTTCCCATACACTCTTCATACAGGTGCTCAGTATACGTGTGACTAACACATTCATCTCTTTTTCAGCTCCTCTCAAAATAAGTAGCAAACAATGTGCATGCAACTACCCTGCTGGGAACTAAAAAATATCCCGGAGACTCAAAATAAATTTATAAAGTCAGTGAGGGACAGGAGCAGATAGCACAAGTTAAGGCAAAATCAGCACCTCAGGGTAAAACCCTCTGGTTCTCACCCAGCCCCCCTCCACAGCTCGGCATTGCACCCCAAAACAGCCCCTACACACATGCAGAGCTCATCCCCTATTTTTCTATTTTATTTGCTGCTTTTTTTTTTTTTTTTTAATGAAAGTCTCATGCAGCAAATAAAAGTCAAATAGCTCTAATTTGTAGTGCTACAGACTGTAACATGCTCAGACGTGTAACTGCCTGACAGACTACACAGAAATCTGGCTTAGGCTCCAACCTCTGAAACAAATGCAAATATCCAGAAACATTCTGCTATTTCTCCAATATTAAATTACAAGTAAAACAAACCTAGTGCCAGATTTTTCATACAAATACGTCTTTAAAAAAAATCACTACAAATTTATTATTTATTTCAAACTATAAACAACACAGAGGAAAGAATCACATATACGTTTTCCTTTTCAGAAAAAAAACAAACAACTTATCTATGAGAAAAGCACACACATAGCTCCTTTTTTTTAAGTTCATTTTTTAATACTCTGCCTCTGAAATCAGCCTACAAGCCCATAGATTTATCTAGAGAAAACACAGTTGGAAAACCTTTTTATGTTGCACTGTTTTTGGACCCTTACAGGAGGTTTTTAAAGACAATTCACAACCACACTATTTCAAACAGCACAAATACAATTATTTAGAATTTATTCTTTACTGTAGCAATTTTTACTCCGGTATATTTTTCAGAGTTTCCTGGGAAAACACAATCAGTCCCCATCTAGTTTAGCGCACCTATACTGTTAACTCTTTCTCTATAGTTTTTCTTAACAAATCAACCACAAATGTTTTATAAGTGTTTACATATACATAGTAAAATAAGAAGAAGGACAATACCACAAGAGAAATGCTCAAAACCAAACTGAAGGTGTAAATGACCTCCTGCCATGTTCCAGACGTACCTATAAAATCCCTGCTCACTGGTACAGGATTATACATGCCATCATAAGTTCAGCCTTTTTATATTTTGTACTATTTTAACACCCTAAATTTATAGATTTTTAAAAGTGGCATGTTAAAAGGGCTTTATTTAAGAATTTCAATGAAAATAGTGTTATGTTTTGTCATATTACCATAATCCTTCTTTTTAAATCACTTAGAATTTCAGTATAACCTAATTAAGTAATTTTAAGTAAGTCTTAACCCAAATACATAGATCTAATAAAAATGTATTTTGCAAACAGGGAAAATAGACTTCTAAAATGGATTCCTCAGGTATGAACAAAGATGCTGGAACATTTCCTCCCCACAAACTCTGAGATCTGAACTATTTCACAGCACTTACATTTAAAACCAAAATACTTATAAGAAAACAAATTTCACCAAATATCTAGTATAATATTTCATCCCAATTGTATTTATTTATTCCTTTTATATTTGAAAGAAATCCTTCTATTTTCTTTGAGGAGAGAGAACAGGGGAAGAAAAATACTTAAAAATCCTAACTACCTATCTGAACATACTATTTATTTCAAAACTCTTCTAACAGCTGTTTATACTTTATTTTAGATAATGTATATTATTTTGCCTGTAGAAATATTATTATTTAGATTTCTGCCTTTTTAAAGGCTACAGAACAACATTATATATTTTAGAGACTTCTAATCATTTTTAATCTCTCACTTTTTTAAATGCTACAAACATCACATTTGGTAAATGGAATTTACATTTCTCTCTTGTCTTAATTATCAGAGTTGAATCAACAATTCAAACCAGGAAGAACAAGTGACGTACCGTAACACAACAGCAACTCCAACACTTTAACACAGCTCCTCTATCTATTGGTGTATAAAAAGCTTACACAAAGTAAAAAATACCTCAGAAATACAGACTCTTTCCTGATCAGAAAATTTTACTTATTGACTAATTTGACCTCAAGCAACTGCATTTTTCTCAGAAAGAATCCTATCTAGAGCTTTATGCCATTTACTGACCTTTGCTTAATTAACCAGCATGCTTTAAAACCAAGTCTCGGCCCTTCAACTTAATCAAAACAGACTACTTTTAATTGCTACCACATCAAATATATTTGTCAACACAATAAAACCACATACAATTAGAAAGAACTATTTTTTCTAGCCCTCTCTTTGACCAACCAGAGATTGTAGCATCTACTTCCAATTTATTAGCTATTCTAATATGAAGCAAACTGAAACACACAGCACAGTTCACAAATATATTGATCTTTCTATAACATTCTATCATTTGCATCTTTCAATGGGAAAATCCGGTATACCACTGTCAGCACTGCTGTTCTCCTGCAACCGATCGGACATCAGAAGGACTTGGCATTAACTTCCCTCCCTCACAACACTTTGCCTTCTCGCCTCTCTCAAAATAAAACAAAAGTATCTGTGTTTGTCTGAAATGTCAATAAACACCAAAATCTAAAAGGCCAAAAGGTCAGGTATTATTTAATCTGGACAAAAAAGCTATTTTTTCTTTCTCTCTCAAGCCATCAGAAAGAGCGTGTTACCTGAGATGAGATGCCCATGTCCCTCGGACGTCTGTCCTTCTGTCCAGAACAGGGGCTGTGCTACGCTCTCTGTAATATAAGAGGGAATAGATTAAAATTATTGTATACCCAGGAACATTTTTGCACATTCAGATTATCTGGCCTTCAAAAAGCTTTATATCTTTTGGTTTGAAAAGCATTTTAAAAACTCCTATTACATTCTAGTCTGAGTCTTCAAAATTGGTTTTTATAAGTCAGGTACACATGTCAAAAATTAATTCCATACATTGTCATTTGAAGTACCAGATTCCCTAGGCCTGGTTTTCAGTTCTTAGAGGCCTCTCTATCACTGCATGCACCATCCCATTAGCAACATTTAATCTGCAAATGGTATGATGTTATATTAAAAAAAAAAAAAAATTACATACATTGAAAAAATTTTAAAGCCATTTACATGAGGGACAAAGGCCTGAGATATTTCTTCCCACAGCAACTTTTCCCTCCTTTGCTTTAAAAGTTGAATGCCTTCCCAGATAAATAAGGTCTTTGTTTTACCCATTTTTCTGTGATTTGTATTATTTTGTACTTACTTCTGATGCTGCAGAATTTACATAGGCCTGTAGTTTTGATACTTCCCTCTCCTCCCTCCACCTGTGAGGTAGATACCAGCTAAAATCACTGTCTATTACCACTTCCCCCCCACTTTTCCCTCTAAACTTTTCCAAACAAATGTGAGAGGGAAAAATGCTTAAGATAATGAGTAGAAATTCCTTGTGTTAAATTGAAAAAAAAAAAAAAAATCTTGCTTCAGTTTGTCATTTAATAAGAATTTTCAACATAAATCATGGTCAGAAAGCCTCAGCACTGTAGGGTGTAGTATTCATGACTAAACTGCCCTAAAAAAAAAAAATCAGTCCTCTCTTACCCCTTTTCCTTCCATTTATTTACCCTCCTCATACTGCTTAGATCTACAGCGGACTGTTGAAGCACATGTATTTTTACACACAATTTCCTAGGCACTGACAAATGTGAATCAAGGAAGAATTTTGCACAATGTTAACTTATCTAAACCACTTATTTCCTCCATTCTCTCTTTTTTTTGTCCATGGCACCCAATGCTTTTTTTTTACCCTCTGCTGTTGTTTTGATTGGTATTTCCCCACTTTCCTGTACATTTATCTCCTGCTGATCCTACTAGATCGGGCAGGAATAATTGAAAGTCTGTCTCTCCCCATTGCTACACTTCCTCTCATTTTTGGTGTTTCATCAATTAAACACATTCAACCATTATTTTAATATATTTTTAAAGATATTTTTTCTTTCCCTTCTCTAGAAACTTTCTGATTACAGTCACCAATACTTCTGTAAAGCAAGGTCATTTCTGTCCTGCTCTAGCACGTGCTTCTGTCAGAATATTAAGGATACATGACTTACAAGTCTGTGCTGCAACACATGCAAAAGGAAAAGGCATGTGAAGGAAAAAGAGGGTAACACGTACAGATGCCCCTAAATATCATTTAAAAAAAAAA